CTTATAGGGTTTATACTGAGTACAATATTGTATAACTGTAATAATTCAACTGTAAACCTAAAAATTTACAGCCAATTTTGAAAGAGATGCATCCTACCTCAGGAAACCGTTATTGAATATGTCAATTGTGTTGTAATGATATGCTTCTTCTAAGTATGTTGTTATTAAATAAATCATTTGTAAAAATTAAAAAAAAATAAGCTTCTTTGATTAGTGGTGTACAGTACATTTGTCTGTAAATATAAGGATCCATATTTAGCATACAGTAATTCATTTGTCTAGAGATATGACAGAGATAAGGTTTTCTCTAGGATCTATGACCTTTCCAGCCATGTGTATTTGGCCATATTTACAGTGCCACCCATGAGTTCCCTCCCATGAGAGGGCTTTAAGTTCAATTAGATAGCTGTTGATTACCACATACCTAACAGTGCCACTACTGTACCAGTAGAGGTAGTTTGCTGTGCTAATCATTGTGGTTACTAGGTCTTAGGACTGGTCTGAAACGTTGATTGATTTTCTCCTTTAGCAGCTTGCATCATATCCTTTAGAACTATGAGAGCTAGTCTTCAGGGAGAAGTTCAGTTCTAGCTCCAAGGCTCCAGGTTCTGTGTTTGAAGTACATCTTGTCTTCAGCAATAGGGTGTTACCTTCAAGTCTTGGGAGGCGATCGAGTACTCTGGCAGTAGCCTGTGTTATATTGGGAGTCTCTGGGACTACTCTGACCAACAACTCAAAGGAAAGTTTCTCCTGTCTGGCACTGTGTTTGTTGCTTGTTATATAGCCTTCAGGTATACATACACATGCACTAATGTTCAGATAGTGTATGCATATTTTTCAGGAGATTTTTATGTTAATATATTTTCCTCTTTTTATGCCACCCAAGTTTTATTGATCTCTCTCTCTCTCCCTACCTAGTCTCCCTCCTCTCTCCCCAGTTTAAGTGCCCCTATTTTCCTCTTGATAACATCTGTTCCCCACTATCCCTCTCCTTTAGGCTCTTTCTTTCCCTTTACCTCTGTCTCCCTCCTTTCTTTTGGTTCTTTTTTGTGTTTTCTAGCCCAGTCAGGGCGTTGCAAGCATGTGCCACACAACCTAGCTTGAAACTTTTTTAATTGCAAGAAATAGAAGCCCATTTGGATTGTTCAAACAGAAGTAGGGTGGTCATGCAATAAGGCTGCAGACTATTCACAGAATTCACATACGCCTGATAGCTGAAATTCCTAAAGGAAATGGATGAGTGCTCCTCCAAAATCAAAAGTAAAAGTAGGGTGGTCTTACAGTAAGACTACAGGCTGTCCACAGAATTCACATATGTCAATAGCTGAAATTCCTAAAGGAAATGGGTGAGCATGAGTTTTCTTCCAAAAGTCTCTAACATATTCTTCTGCTTTAGTGCTTTGTTCTGTCTGTTAGAATAAAATTCAATACCTGCAGCTAGGTGGTACATACCTGTGGTCTTAGCACTTGGGAGGCAGAGGCAGGAAGATTGCAAGTTTGAGAGTCTGGGATCCATAACAAGACCCTGTCTTTAAAAGAAAATTTAATACTTCTAACTTCACCTTATAAGCTGGATGCTTGTCAGCATTTTGAAGCCTCGTGAAACTTTTTTTTAATTATTATTTTTATGTTATGTGCGTACGTGTATTGCCTGCATGTAGGTAAGTGCACCTGTGTCGTGCAATGCCCGCAGAGGACAGAAGAGGCTGTTGGATCCCCTGGAACTGGAGTTACAGACAGTTGTTAGCTGCCATGGGGGTGCTGGGATTCGAATCCAGGTCTTCTGTAAGAACAGTCACTGTTCTTAACTGCTGAGCCATCTCTCCAGCCCCATTATTTTAAGACCTAGTTCAAGTATTACATGAGCACTGTTTTCCTTGAGAGGAAGAATATGTTTTCATTTATCAGTTCTGTGATCTTTTTCTACTTGTAGAGAATAATATTTAAATAAACAAAGATCAAATGAGAATATATTTTTTAAAGAGTCTGAAAATTAAGTATACAATAGGCATGAAGAAAATAATTAAAAATTTTTTAAATTTGCAAAATGTGGGTTTGTTTTGCTTTTAAATAGAATATGTTGATTTCCTCAAGTTTTTTGAGTATTTCTTTTTCTAATAAAACTTTTAAGTTGAAATGTCTAGGTTAATCAGTATATATCGTTTTAGGAAATACTCAATGCTTTCTGCTCCTTTGTTATTTTAAAATAATGGAACCCCTGAATTTTAAATTTTGTTTTTGTGAGGGCTGGAGGGACAGTTCAGTGGGTAAGAAGTGCCCACTGCACAGGCATGAGGACCTGATTTTGGATCCCCAGCAACAATGTGATAAAACTGGGCACAATTTTATGCCTCAGTAACCCTGTTGCTGGAAAGGGGCCAAGGCAAGTAGCTCCTTTAGAGCTCACTGGCTGCCAGTCTGACCAGTGAGCACCAGGTTTACTGAGAGATGATGTCCAAAAGATAAGGTGAACTGGGGGTGGTAGCATACACCTTTAATCCTAGCTCTCAGAGGCACAGGAAGGCAGATCACAGAGATCAAGGTCAGCCTGGATTGGCCTACATAGTGAGTTCCAGGCCAGCTGGGCTACATAGTGGGACCCAGTCTCAATAGCCAACCAGCCAAACAAACAAACAAGTAAACAACAACAACAGAAAAGAGACAGTGGAGAGTGATTGAGGAAGCCACCCGATATCCACCTTTGGCCTCTATACTCACACGTACACATGTACATAGAAACATGTACACCATGCACAAAATTTTTGTTGAAAGGATAAGTTTTGGGGACTGGAAAGATGTCTCTGTGGTTAAGAGCACTGGCTGCTCTTACAGAGAACCTGGGTTCAATTCTCAGCACCCACATAGTGGCGAATTCCCAGTACATAGTGAAAAACTGTCTGTAACTCCAGTTCCAGGGCAACTAATGCCCTCTTCTGTCCTCTACTGGTGCCAGTCACTCACAAGGTACACATACATACTTCCAGGTAAAACATTCACAAACATAATATAAAAATAAAAAAAATAAAATCTCTTAAAGAAAAGATAAATTTTGTTTTTGTGATTTTTTTTTTTTGGTATTAAAGTATGGAAATGTTTAATGGCTGATCAAGAATCTACAGTGGTTTGATTTCAGTGGGCATCAACAAATAACAGCAGTTTCTTTTTGTTGTTGTTGTTCTTTTTGAGACAGGGTCTCCCTGTAGCTCCAGCTGCCTGGAACTCGCTCTGTAGACCAGGCTGGCCTTGAACTCACAGAGATCCGCCTGCTTCTGCCTCCCAAATGCTGGGATTAAAGGTGTGCACCACCACGCCTGGCTTACAGCAGTTTCTTAACTAAGCTTTTGTTATCTAATTTTTTAATATATATTTTTGTTATCTTTATTGATAATTCCTTTCTTAATGTTCTAGCTCTCTATCAATACCAGCTTACATCATTGAGAAGAGCATTTTGAAGACATATTTGCTGAGAAGACAGCTGAGAACACTTTTACGAATGGGATGAACACGTGCCAGCTGACTTACCACCTGCTGAAGTCTGAATGTTAACATTGCTTATCTGTACTGTTACCTAGTGATGTACCTACTCTCACAATACCCTATTTCAGCGTGCTTGTCTTGATTAAAGAATTCAAAGTGGAGTACCGCAAACTTGATATGGATAATAAAAAGAAAGACAAGGACAAGTCAGATGATAGGATGGCACGGCCTAGTGGTCGATCAGGGCACAACACTCGAGGAACTGGGTCTTCTTCATCTGGAGTTTTAATGGTTGGACCGAACTTTAGAGTTGGGAAAAAAATTGGATGTGGCAATTTTGGAGAATTACGATTAGGTAAGAATATTTTATTTATTCCATTATATGAAGAGCATTTTAAAAATGGAATATGCTTGTAAAAATGCTTTTTTTTAATTAGTTTTTAATGATAGTTGTAAGGGATACAAATGTTGGAAATGTTTTATTTGTATTTTCATTTGTAAGGAATTCCTTAGTGACAGAATGTCTACGTGTTTAAGATAAACTATTCTCATCCCTAGTATTTTGGGGTAGGGCTCAGGACTATTTCTTTAACAAGGATCTCAGAGAACTGACTCGGGTTATAATAACCTGGGGAAACATTGGTTTAACTAAAGTTCCTAACTCTATACTTAAGGAACTCAAAGCTCAATAAGGGAAAGGTACCTGCCAGATGTCACAGAGAAATTTAATGACAGATTCAGAAACAGAATTGCAGTCTTCTGACACAAGAGACAGCTGTCTCCATTGAAAAGAGAATGGCATGGTGACACAGTCAGTATGGAGGTACATCAGGCCTGTCCTCCGTACCACCAGGGGTCTGAACTTCAGTCATAAAAAGAAAAAGATGGACTCCACAAATTTCACTGGGCCTGACCCTGCTTGTTTTAGTTTTGTTTTTGATTTATGTGTTAAAACACAGAGCCAAACCAACTAGGGGAGAAAACAGTTCAACTTACTCTTCCAACTGACAGTCCGTCACTGAGGTAAGACTGGGTAGGAACCTGGAGGCAGGAGCTGAAGCATAGAACATGGAGGAACACTGCTTATTGGCTTGCTCCTCTGACCTGTGCTCAGCCTGCTTTCTTATACAACCCAGGACCACCCACACAACAATCAAGAAAATGCCCACAGGCTACTCCGGTAGAGGAAATTCCTCAATTGAGGTTCTCTTTCCAGGTGTGTTAGGTTGACAACTGAAGCTATCTGGGTGAAGCTGGACTGTTCTTTAGAATCTTAGAAAATAACCTAATTTGTAGTAGTTCTTTTATCTCATTAGTTTTGTGTTGCTAATATATTGTAAATATTTGAATGAAGCGAGCTGATAAAAGTCAGTGGCATTCTTTGTGCACAGCTGTAAAGAGATATGGTTGGCAGATTCATTTGCATTTAGCAGGGACTCAAATATTTGAAAGGGTAAAATTTTGAAAGATACTGAATTAGTTTGAAATTTCTAAGCTATTTCAGACGAGTTAGAGAAACTAGATTATTTGCTTTTTGTCTAACTTTGAGAACATCCATCCAGTTCTTAACACTGAAAACACACTGGAAAAACATAAAGATGGTTATTTAATCACTCACAGTCCTCAATTTTAGAATGGGATTATTTCTACTTTCAGGTTACTGTTAAGATTAAATTTAAACTATAATATAAAAAATGCAGTTGTGTAGCTGCATGTACTTAGTTGTTTTCATTATATCTTTTCACAGAATTTATTTTGAAATAGCCATTCACACACATATAACTGTACACACTGTATGTATGTATGTGTGTATTCATACAGAGAAATTTTAGTGAGACAGCTTATCATAATAGTATGAGAAATGATATGAACCATATACTGACAGTATACTATATATTGTAGAGCAACTCTTTCTTTCATAGGCCCTGAATAAGTAAAATAGAAATAAGGTGCCTTCCTAGTATCTCTGTCTCATCTAATCATCACTGAGTCTGTGTGTAGTACATATACATGTATGATATTCACACCCATCTATTTAAATTATCTATATGCGTGTAACTTTAAAAGTCAGGTTAATATGCTATAATAATGTTCTCTGAGAGTTTCTCTGGAGAGACTTGAACAAAACATCTACTGACCATTAATAAGCCAGCTACAGTGAATCAAAGAAAAGGAGTATGCTTCTCTACAGGAGTATGGGTGAGAGGTTCTATTCCGGAGCTGGGATGGCTCAGAGATAGCTACATCACTGAAAAGCCCACTCTACCCTGCCAACTCAGAAAAGCTGCATCTCTGGTGCTCTCTGCATGATTTGTGGGCATCTCATCAGGTCTAGAGCATACCTGAACATACCTGAGCAGGCCTTCCAGGCAACTGAACTAGGGAATGTCTTCTCCAGGCAGCTGTTCACTGCTTTACCTTGCAGCAAGGCCTGTAAGTTTCTCATCTCCATCCATCTCTGGTGCTCTCTGCATGATTTGTAGGCATCTCATCAGGTCTAGAGCATACCTGAACATACCTGAGCAGGCCTTCCAGGCAACTGAACTAGGGAATGTCTTCTCCAGGCAGCTGTTCACTGCTTTACCTTGCAGCAAGGCCTGTAAGTTTCTCATCTCCATCCAGGATTTGTAAGATTGTTTACTTCCTGAGTCTTATACACTTCTTTCCCCCAGGACATAATGTTTCAATTTAGAGGAAATTGCTATACAACAAATACACATACTATCTTTTTATCTGTGGCACTCTTATGAATATTTATAAGCATTTTACATATCTATACATAAACATACAGGCCTGAATTAGTCGTTTTAGTCTTTCTTATTCATAGACTGCTAAGGGAGCATTTTATTACTGTTTTTCAAGGTCTTTCAATGGTTTCTTTGTTTAGAAAGGTTATAAGCAGTTTTTTTCCTGTACTTGGATAAATTCTGATGCTAAAAGTTGGTTTGGATTCTTATTAAAGTATTTTCATTGAAGTCCCATTAATAAAAACACCCTGAACACTTAATATTTAATATTTTTTGTGGTATTTGAGTAAGAAAGATTATAAGACTCAACCTGTTTTATAGGTAAGTGATTTTCAACAAAGATACCCTGTTCTGGGCTGGACGGTTTTGTCTTTGTTTTTGTAGAAGGCTGACTCTCAACACTGTTGGACATTAAAAACTTCAGATTTTTTGGCACCTTGCTGTTGTAACCTCATTATACAGCTCAAAATATCCCCTCATGTCCAGATGCCCTAAGGAGAGACAATACTGTCCTCTGCTGTAAATTGTTCTTACAAGTCATTAGTTTTTAAAAAATGATTGAAATTAAAAACAAGCAAACTGGGAAACATTAAATTTAGTTTTTATTTAAATTAATGTGTTAAGCACTTCTGTCTCAGTGTTTATTTCAGTTTTTTTTAAAAAAATTTATGTATACATACATAAAATGTTTTATGTTTTGCCTGAATATATGTAAAGTGCATCAGGTGTCCCCAGTGCCCATGGAGACCAGAAGAGGGTGTCAGATCCCCTGGAACTGGAGTTACAGACAGTTGTTAGCAGCAATGTCAGTGCTGGAAACCTAACCCAGGTCCTCTGTAAGAGAAGCCAGTGCTCTTAACCACTGAACCATCTTTCCAGACCCTAGTTTTTATCTCAAATGATGAGTTGATTCATTTGCAATTTTATTCTACTTTTAGGATATCTTAGTAGTAAAGCTTGGATTTCTGCCTGTTGGTAGATATATTTCAAACTTAAATCATCAATGAAAATCCCCAGAATATTTTTTATTTTCACTTTATTTTCTGAACTGTTTGCATATTCCTTCTTATTCATTCTTTTTTTTGCAATCTTCATGCAAAACTGCCCTCTGCCCAGTTCAATATACATGCGCGCGCATACACATACACACACAAGGAATCTAATCTATGGAATCTGTTTGTGTCTCCAAATGTCCTTCAGTGTGAGTCCATCCGCAGGAGCCTGGTTAATGTACCAAGAGTCCTGTACTTGAGACTGTCTCTGCCCCTCCCAGCAGCCATCTGTTGTCACAGTTTCCTTAGGTGGGGTTGGAGCTTCTTACCTACTTCCTCATGTCTATGCTGGGATTTTCCCCAGAAATATTTTTGACACATACTGAATGACTTCAGACATGGCTAGCCAAAATGTTAGGACTGTATTATATACTTTCGGTTCTTTCTGCATGTTATAGTCTTTAGACATTATTAAAAGATATTTTTAATTTATTCTTTAATAGTTTCATATGTGTATGTAGTGTATTTATGTATTTTGGTTGTAACCCCTGACGCTTATCCTTTCACTCCGCTCTGGACTTGGCTCCTTCCAACAATTTCCCCTTTGTACTTTCTTTTTATTTATGTAATTTTTAGAAAATAATCCGCTGATTTAAACTAGAGTTGCTTGCATACACATGGGTATAGGATTATGTATCAGAGCATGGGCAACTGATCCCTAGCTATTGCTCTTTGAAGAAAAATGGCTTCCCTTCCCCTGGCAACTGTCATTAGCTCCTCAGGTAGGGGTGGGGCCTCAGGTGCCCTCTCCCACCCATGCTGCAGTGGTGATGGACTCAGTCTTGTGCAGGTCGTGTGCACGAAGCCTTAACTGCTGTGAGTTCATGAGCAAACAGACCTGTCACGTCCAGAAGACATTTCACAGCACTCTTCCTCCTCCCTAGGCCCTTATATTCTTTCTGCCCCCTCCCAGATGTTCTCTGAGCCTTGGGGGTTGAAAGAATTATTTAAATGTCCCCACAGGACTAGCACTCAACAGCCACATATTCTTGACACTTGAACAAGTTAGGAGTCTGCATTTGAACCACTGCTCATTGCAAGAAAGACACTTCTGACTAACACTGATACCAGCACTAATGGCTGAGTTGAAAGTGAAGCCCTCAGATTCCTCCGGCTCCAGCAGTCTCCATTTGGTGCTGTCAGGAGGGACGAGTGAGAGCTGTGGCTTTCAGCTTTTGCTGGGTTCCTTGTCTCCTGCAGGAAAAGAGTTTATTGTGCATTTTCTCAACTTTGTTCTTTCACCGAACTTCAGTGGTGAGGCTTTTAATCTGGTATCTTACCCAAAAGTTCTCTTTGGACATCTTTTTTGTTTTTTTATTTTTTGAGACTGCATCTCTTCTGTATTACAAGCTGTCCTGGAATTTACTATGTAGACCAGGCTGACTTGATTTCATGGAGATCTGTCTGCCTCTGCTTCCCAAGTGCTGGGACTAAAGCCATGTGCCACTGGAGGCTACCATAAAAAGCCTTTTTGGTTGGGAAGAGTCTGTGCCTCCTAGTTACCCAATTCTTGGAGAGCACTTCTTAAAAAGATTCAGATTCAGGTAGGAACATGCCTTTGATATACAAATTATCCCATTACCAGCCTTGCCTTCCTTCCTTATCTGACCTATCCACCTAGAGCAGCTTTCCCTTGTTAATCATCCCTGGGCCTAGTACCATGCTAGTAGAGACCAGCCCTGTACCCAGAAGCCATTGGAACCATGGAGAGACATACCAATCTTAACATGTTTAACTTGCCTTGATTTGCCCTTCCCTGAAAACTTTAAAGGTTTGGCTTAAACTTTCCTTTTGCTCCTGTCTTCTGCTGTCTAATCCAAACGTGGGCTCTGTGGTCTTGCATGGCATTCACTGTGATCCCTGGAGACTTGCGAATAGGACATCACATAAAAGAACACAGAACAAGAATGTTACATATTTCTCTATGAAATAAGAAACTGTGGCTTTTGACATGATTTAGTTTTCCATGGGTGTCTGTTAATAATTTTTTTTTTTATTCCCATATTGCTCATGACTCCTTATTTTGAGGTTTGTGCTTGAAAATCACTGTTGGAAGTTTTTTGGGGGTAAATTCATCATTTTTATGCTTATTGGTTTTTCTACTGCTTCTAACAGAAACATAAAACATTTGAAAATGTGAAAATAAAGACTAGACTGGGGCTGCCAAGAAGGCTTAGTGGATAAAGGTATCTGTTGGGAAGTTGAATTCAGTCTTCAGTACCCACATGGTGAAAACTGAGAACTGACTCCTGCATCTTGTCCTTTGAGCTCTGTATACATGCCGTGGCACACACCCGTCACCCATAAATAAATAAATATAAAAAATTAATAGACCTTGATGCTTTACAAAAACAAAAACAAAATCCCCAAATGTAAGTACTTTTAAACAAATCATTTAGTTTTTGTTATTTTCTCAAAAGACACAGACCAGCGGGAGCAGTCAGGCTACCAAGGTACCTCTGTGTCCTCAGTGGGCCGTTTCAGTGTCTGTGTGCAGGGTCATCTCTCCAGTTGTTACCCATTCCCAGCCAACCAACCAGAAGGAAAAAGAACCAGGAACGTATGCTTACATTCTGGATGTGGCGTGACCTACTTCATTTTCATGTCCACTGGTCTGTAGAATTTAGTCACTTGGCCATACTAAACTGCAAGAGAGGCTGGGAAGTATAGTCTCTTGCTAGGAACCATTTTTCAAACTTGGAAGTTCTATTAAAGTACAGAGTTGATATTGGTGGATAATTGGTATTTCCTACTATAAGCATATATATGTAATATCTGAAGAACATAGTTTTCTGTAATAACACCAACACCACCATGTTGGTAAACCCTTCTTTTCAGGTTCAATATGGCAGGAAGCTGTACTGCAAATGTTATTTCAAATTGATTAAGAGATCAATGAACTAGCACCAGTGTATGTGGAGGGTTCTTTTAATTTCTCTACACACATATTTCCTCCCTCTCACTTATACCATACATTGAAAATATACTTTGTGCTTCATTTGTTTTTGTGTATAACTCATTGATTAAAAAGCAAATATGTATTATTTTTTAATATTTGTGTATATGACTGTAATCCCCATAGTTAAGCTAGCTTTCTTAATGTTCAAAAATGGTAATGCTTTTCAGGTCAGTCTCTTCTTTTTTCTTTTTATTCTTCTGCTGTGATATTAATAGTAGATGTTGGGCTACACAAAAGCCAACAAAACCAATACTTCCAGAAATATTTGGTATATTTTGGTTCTGTAGGATATGTATTTAACCTTTTGTATTTTTTGCTATGTAATTGAGAATAAAAATTATAGAAAAATAGCTGTGAAGAGATTATAATGCCTTGAGAAAATGTGTATTATTTCATCTTTGTACTCAAAAGCAGAATTGGCCTTTTAATTAGATACCAGCCCTTCCAGATTAAGTTCCTCATTTTTAGTATCACTTTTCACTTATAGTCACTAGAGGACACCTAAATTTCCATGCGTAATGAACTCTTGAAAGTGTGCACGAACACACATCTAAATGCTAAAGTCATTGATAAGAATATAAAATATCCCCTAATATTTTGAAAAACATGTATGCCTAATGAGTATCAAAATAGAGCTTAATTTCTGCCACTTTTGGTATTTCTATTGAGTTCAATCTTTATTTCAAATGTATTATTGAGCTTATGAGATCTATGCTACTCAGCATTAGTATGAATGTTTGCTGTTTTTCTTTTACTCATTTTTATACAGTAAGAGCTATTTTATAATATTTGTATGAATAAACACTGGTCTATAAAGAGAGCGACACATTTGAGGCTGAAATTTGGATTGCACCTTTTCCTGCCATTCATCAGGTGCTGTGTGAAAGGAGGTGAAAGGGGTGTTGTGTGGACACATGTCATGTATGGAAACTGATCGCGACAGCTTTGTTTTCAGGAGTCATTGTGACCGAGCCAGTTATTGTCTCAGGTTACAAACTCATGAGTGAACTAGTCATTCTCTCTTCATTACAAAAATAATTTATGCTAGTTGAAAAATACTGGAAATTAAGAAATAACATGTACTATTTTTTTTATTTCATTCTTTGTGTGTGTGTGTTTTGTTTTGTTTTGGGACAGGGTTTCCCTGTTTCCACAGCTGACCTATGTAGATCAAGCTGGCTTCAGTGTTGCAGATCTGCCTGCCCCTGCCTCCTGAGTGCTGGGATTAAAGGCGTGCATCACCAAGCTTGGCTCATACTTCTGAAGATGCATGTTGATTAATATTTCAAATTGTCTTTCTATGTTTATTAACTCCAAAATTCTTTGTAATATTCTCCTTGGGTATAGATTCTGACAATTGGAATTTTCTTGGTTATAGCCTATAAAAGTCAACTTCAATTTATTTGAATTATTTATATGCCAATCATGCTAAATCTCAGATCTGCTTTGTCCTTTACTTACCTTTGCATATAATACATTTATGAAGCATTTAAAAGTTTAAAGTATTTCCTGCAACCAAATATGTATAAAATCTTTGATCTCTTTTGTCTTCTTATCCTCAAAAGGTATGTATTGAGATGATAAATATTTTTCTTGTTTCATGTCTTATGTTTATAACTTCTAAAATAGTTGGAATTAATCTGGTCATAAATTGAGATATTAATAACATATAATACATTTATGAAGCATTTAAAAGTTTAAAGTATTTCCTGCAACCAAATATGTATAAAATCTTTGATCTCTTTTGTCTTCTTATCCTCAAAAGGTATGTATTGAGATGATAAATATTTTTCTTGTTTCATGTCTTATGTTTATAACTTCTAAAATAGTTGGAATTAATCTGGTCATAAATTGAGATATTAATAACCTTTTTCTCAAAGTAAGTTTTTGAGCCATTATCTAATTTTCTTGTGTTTTAAACATATTCCAGATTTATATATATATATATATAAAATACATA